GAGAGAGAGAGAGAGAGAGACAGAGAGAGAGAGAGTCTGTCAATGATGCAGCAGCTGCCACTGACCAGAGAAACTAATTAAAACAAGACTCTGTCACTGGACTGAGAATATGTTGCAGCCTGTTGACACCCACTCAAGGGATGGTAAACATTTTTAGCAATATATAATATTTTTTATAAAAAGATTACAATTTTAATTTAGATTTTGAATCTCAGATAAAAAGAAACATAATATAAAAATGAGGCATTTAATTTCACCTTTCCCACTTACCTAATTTCTATTTCTATTATTTTCACACTCCAACCCTGTAGGTGGCAGTAATGCACCAAGGGTTGATTTGCGATTGCAATCGGCAATTTTCATCAGAAAAGTACAATCTGTGAATCTGTAGTAAAGTCAGTTAGTTGTTGGCGACCAGCTCAATTCTTTGTACTGCAAAATCGGACAAAAACAACACTTTACTCTTTCACTTTTGACTTTAAATATTTGGTATAATTTAATCTTTAAACTTCCAGCTTCAGTTCTTGACTTTTACTTTGGTTATTTTTGTGTATTTCAGACCCTGATAAACCTGCTCAGAATATCCATTATGTAGAATAAACTCTTATTTTACCATCATCCCACAGGTAATCTGTACTGCAGCGTCATATTCAGTTCAACTGTACACGGTGAAGCCGTAACCTCAGTGTCCCTTCAGTTCTGAGGAACTGTTTTGGTTCGTCACACAAAGTAAACAGTGAGAGCAGCAGGATTCTGCTCGGATGATGGAGGTGCACTTGTTCTCCTCCCTCTCTTCCTCCGCCTCCCATTCTCTCCCCCTCCCGTCCGCCCAACTCACCGCCTGGCTGCAATGCACCAATAATCCAAGCCAAACAAACACACAGTCACTGAAGGAAAGACAGCAGCGGAGGGTAAAAATGTGAAACCCTGAATCCTGTTCAATCTGTCATCTGTGCAGCGGCGTCTGCACTCGTTTCAGGGAGGAACAAATAAACAGGTGATGGAGGCGGAGGCGGAGAGGCCCGAGGCCCTGAGGCTTGGCAGCACTTCAATGAAGGTGACCGATGATGGAGAGTCACACAGGAAGGGGAAAACAACACTAAATAAAAACCAAAATGCTCCCACCACAGACCACAGTCCGCGAATTAGTGACGATTAACAGCAAATTACCCGAATTAGCTTTAATTTTTACATGTAAACACAGCGAACCCGAGCCCAACAACGTGATCCAAACCACGTTTAATCATCACATGACATGACGTTACATATAAAAACACAAACCATTTCACAAAAATAACGTCAAAAGCCGGCATATAGGATTTGAATGCAACACTGTCGGTTCGTGACGCATTCATGGACCTCTTCAATGATGTCACGTTCGATTTGGCACAGTTTATGAACAACACACACCATCAAAATACCCGCAGTAGGAGCTATTATGAACAACGTAGTTCCATTTGTTATAATAATGTAAATGGTAAATCTTCTAAACATTATCTTTGTTACCTTCATCGAAGACGAGTGCGTCGCTTTCTGCTTCTTTCAACAAAGCAGGACAATGTTGTGATGCTGCGAGTAACACAGAGACAAGACCGACTAAGTACAACGCAACAGCTTCCGGTTAGCGTTTCAAAATAAAACTAACTGAAACTAAAACAGGCAAATATTGACGCACGCAGTTGCTGATCGAATTCATTGTGATTTTATTGTCATTTTAGTGGCACAAAAACGACAGAATTAAGACTCATTCTTCTTAGAAATGTTATGTGTGTATTTTTACGAGGTTAAATTTATAGTACTTGGAACGTAAGGAAGTTAATTCGGGTTCTTTATCTTTTACTTGACTTCTCGCGTGATTTGACAGCGATAAGAGGCACTAAATAGCATTACAAAATCTTAACAAGTAAATAAGCAAGTACATTCTCTGAATAATCTTTAAATGAATACTAATGTTTAAAAGAAAAAACCGTTATTTACTAAAAGAGAAATTTAACACTGCAGAACACAATGGGGGCTCTTAGAACGCGCACCACGTGACGTGGTTGAGGTCAAATAAACCATTATCATTTTAAGAAGTGTTGTTTTCCAGCATATATACTTGAAGCAGTATTGTTGCCAAGTAAAAATAACTGTAGGCGGTGTTGTTGTCGCACATTTGCTCAAATAGAGTGAAAAGGCGGCGAGAATGGCTCCGCTGCTGAACTGTACTCGATGACCAAAGATGTATCAAAGAGACGAGATGATTCACTCCGACAACACACTAAATAGGGTGATGAATTTTGCAAAACTGCAAAGAAACCTGTCCTGTTGTATTGTTATTATTTACCACTAGATAAACTAAAATGCTCTTTTTCAGGTTTTCTTTTAATCAAGTTAATTCCGAAAAATTAAATATTTCATGTTTTAATCGCTTAGGGACCATCAAGTTCCATTTGAATTTGAGGAAACCTAAATAAATGTCTTATTTTTAACAAATAAACATTAAATAGTGCATTTTCTTCTTACCTGTGAAGCAAAACTGTCCTGAACTATTTTAAGAAACGGTCCATCAGATGAGTCATACTTAAATTTAGTTGCGTTGCCTCGCATTTTATGTAACATAACACGTTTCGATATTAACAACTACATAACATGAAGAAAAGAAAAAATAATTCACTTTTACCGAAATGAGTGTAGTTGGGAGGTAACTCTCTGAATGTTTTTACGCTCCCGTTAATGAAGGGTGACCATTCAAAGGGGGCTTAACGATGGCAGCAGGATGAAAACAGTTCTCCTGTGTTCCACTGACCTGATCCCGTGACTCACGTAAACTTTAATTTACACTCTGACCCAAATATGTCCGAACAGAACAATGTCTCTCTTGTAAAACGTCTTTATGTGTCTAAACCACGGGTTGACTGAGAAATAATGTAAACAACAGCCAGTTAACACTTGATCATACTTTCTTTATACTTTCTTTTATTTAGATAAAGGAAAAGTAAGCAATAATAATTACAATAATTCCCTAAACACCTGTTCTTTTTAAAAAAAAAACCCAACATGACACCAGTGTATAAATAATATATTTTTTTTATTTAAAAAAACAAATGCAACAATGAACACTTCCACTTTCCGTCCCACATTTGTTTGATTGACAAACGTCATCATGAAAAAGCCGGACTATAAAACAAACTTGAAATGAAGAAAAACACAAAAATAGTACAGTCTGATATGTACAAGCATGGTTACAAGTATTACAGTGTACTGTTAAAGGCAAAAGGCGAACAAACAACAGTATGTGCAAGAAATGAGAAGATGTCCACAAGCTCAGGAACACGTCGGTGGTCGGACCAGATTCCAGCGACAATGGAGAGGAGAAACGATTGGAGACGACTTTTTTTTTATTTGAGAGTGTTTGCAGATGAAGAAGCCAAGCCTGTGGAAGCTCGGTGAAGAACGAGGAGTCTCAGTGGACTGACGGACGGACAGAGGGTACTCCAAGAACCAGACAGTTCCTAATCTCTACACCATCAGTTACAGACACACACATACACACAGGGTAAGAGTACAACTGACGGACAGAAGGACGGACCAAGGTACGAGACACAGGAGCTAGTCCGACACTTACACATACAGGAACCAGCAATAAGGCGTCAACAAAAAGCACAGCTGTTACAAATGGAAGGCAAGAACGTCCCAGAAAACTTGAAATCCTGACTCAAGATCAATAGTTCTTATTGTGTTATGTCAAGACCTTTTGTACCAATAGACCTCCAACAATCTTCGAGCTTCACTTAAATTCATAGACAGCGACTTTTTGTCTCTAAAGTCCCTCGAAACACTTCTGTCCAACAGGACCGCTTCCAATTTTCTGCAGTAAATTTAAGCAAAGAAACGTAAACTCTGGTCAATTTGTGGATCAAGACAACAAGGCTGAGAACATTTTGATATTAAACATATAGTCAAAGAGGTAACGGTTGCTGGTTTTGACGTTTTCAGGAACGTAGATCCCTAAAAATTTCTGTCAGCAAAGATGGAAAGATACATTTTAGCCACTTGGCAAAACAATAATCTAATTTAAACCAGACCTGCTTCACCGTATCAACAGACTGTGTGGTAATGTTTGACCATGTTTCCTATACAAGACTTCATAGAGAAAAACAACAATCTCAGCTTGAGGGAATACATTTGCTGCTGGTCCACTGCTGCCTCAACTGGCCAGTTTGAGTCACTAATGTAAATCCCAACCTAAAATTTCAACCACTGAAATCACAAAATATTCGATTTGAACTTCCTGGTGCAACCATCAACACATAGATTCTCACGTCTGATTTGAAGTAAAATCGTTGATATTCTCAATGGAGTTTGGTATGAGAGGACGAACCATTTGGGCAACATTAACATTTCCAACAATTAGAATACACAAACCAATAATGGATTATTTGATGCAGCCCACGATTCATGAGGACTTTACTGTGCCCACAGTCCATGTAGGATTGTTTTAAAGTCCTTAAGCCCAACGATATGGAACGACCAAGAAGACCTAGTTCCAGCCATTTTCACATGGAACTGGTGGATAAACCCATACGGCAACCACTGTTCAAACCAGTTTTGGTTGGTTCACATGGTGAGGCTCAGTTCAAATGCTGGCTAACAGAAAGAGTGAGTGATGTAACACTGAGTAACACTGGAATATTGACACACAGGGAAACAGATTATAATCTAATCCACGACCAATCAACCAATTAACAACTCAACACTCAGGAGTTCTAACACTATATAAAAAAATAACTGGACTAATACGTCACCGTAGGCAGCACAACGTCTCAAATCTTTAATTTGTAAATGTATTCCCAATGATCAGTTTTTTTTGGGTTTCATTCACCAACACACACACACACACACGTGTACACACACCATCACACACTTAGAGTCACATGGTAGAAAACGTTTTTGTCTTTTTTTCGTATCGATACATGATTTCTGACCACATCAAGTTTACACACACACTTGTGTTAGCGAAAACTGTACGCTCACGAATCACCTCACGACGTTCTAGAGAAAACTGCGAAACACACCTGTAGCTAAAAATGTTTAGTATTTCAATTTAATCCAAGTAAACAGTTACATAGATATACAGTAGGGGGCGATATTGTGCTTTATTTAAGCCAGACTTTTCCACAAAGAAATACCACAGACTCTGTTAAGGAAGTGGAAGCAGCCCATCAGTGGAAACCAAACGCTAAGCCAACAGGAAGTTGGCCATATTGTGTCGATTCTTGACCATTTCTGAACCACATTCGCCACCCTGTGGATATACTACTTGATATTTAGTCCTTAGTGTACTACTAGAATTGTTTTGATGGACAGGTTTGGGCAGAACTTTGAGATTTTGCCTGGTTTGTTGGTAGGGCAGCGCCAAAGTTTGGCAGTACTTGAACAGCAGCCCCCCCTAGTGGTCTTCTATGTGCATAGCAAACAAGAAAGATAAAGGAAACTGCCCTGGCCAGAAATTCTGGGACTTTTCACAGAAATGTACACTACAAATTACACAGCCATGAAACAGCTTTAAAGGGAAGTTTTCACTATTTTTACACATTCAAATGACACTTCCCTTAAATGTAGACATACAGTATATTTTCATTTTAAAGGAAATATTTGTTGTTTAACATCCAGAAGACCGACTGTCGATGGAAGCCCTCAGTTCAATTGTTTTGAAGAGCAGGTGTGTCAGAGTTTTAGAAGTCGAGAAAAAATTTCGAGGTCATTTTTTTCACTACGGTTCCATTGGCTCATGCACGTGAGGATCAGATTGGGTCGAGAAGTTGAGTGTCAGAGTCTTTGACTTGTTGCATGCAATTTGTCGCATTCCATAGAACGGAAAACGGAAAAATGGCAATAAATTTGTGCTGTAATGCCCCAGTCAAACAAACACACACACACACACAAACGCACACAGGAGAGTCACCAATAAAGTGACCAGTAACATCAGCTGCCACCCAAACACCACCTTTCTCCCACTCCCATCCTCTCCTTGATGTGTTTTGACAACAGTAGAGAACAGAAATATAATCCCAGCCACTCGATGTCACTTTGTGGGAATCAACATGTTTGTGAAGGAGAGACAGGAATGAGTACAGTTGAAGGTCCAGTCAGGGAGTCCAGGTCTTGGAGGGCGGAGCTTAGCCCTAAGAGGCCAGAGGCTTACTGTAGCCAAACAGTCCTACAGGCAGGTACTTGACATGAGTTGGCCACTGGGCGGCCAGCTGGAAGAATTTAACATCGTTCCACTCCACGCCGTCAATAGACACTAGCAGAAGAGACAAAGAAAACTGGAGATAAGATCAACAAAGTTGGCTGAATAAAATCTAAGAGGTAACAAAAAATACAATCAGAAGACGCTGTCAGGAAGTTTATCCAAGAAATGTGTCAAATCAGCCAAAGTCAGGCACATCATTTCACTATAAACACAGTAAAATTTTAATTAATCGATATTCAGCAGAACGGCAGCAAAGGCGATTGAAGACAGTCAAGAAAATGTTGATGTAACTGAGAGTAAATAAAGAAGCTAAGAATTAAGCAAATACGACAAAAGATGCTTTAAGGTGGACAAAAATGATTGATGAAAAATTAGCCATGAAAATATATTTAGAAACAGAACATTTTGGTTCTTAAATAAGTACTGTAAAAGAATGGTGAGAAAATAGCTTCAACAGTCATGTTAAATGATAAAATGTACAAAAATATTAGCATTAAGTTAACCTAAATTCAGCTAATGCAGCTAACAGTTAGCCATGTTACCTTTCAGGAAAGTCTGCTGCTGCTTAGCTGAGCAGATGAGGCGACTGATGCCTTCGATGACCTGACTCTTGGACTCCATATCCTTCTCTTTGGGCTTCTTTCCCAGGAAGATAGTGGGAACTAAAGCGAACCCACGATGGAAACGCAGCAGGAAAGTTAGCCAAACCGTAATGTTAGCAGCCAATGAGTCTGAACCAGCATTTGACCTCTCACCTTTCTTGTTCTTCTCCTTGGTGACAACTGTCATGGCCATAGTGCTGACCTGTGTCTGTGGTTCACTTACGCCTCCTCCTGGCAGCCTGCTGACCTGCAGGGAGCGGAAGGCACTCTTCAGCGTGTTCTTGCAGCCTGTGTCTCGTCGCTCGCCCTCACGTCGCTTCTCAGCTAAAGAGGCTAGCCAGTAGTCCACCTGCAATCCTATGGCGTCCATGCCATGGGACATGCTGGGACTACTGTGGACAGAGGTAAGTTCATGTTTAGCTAACTGTAAGCTCAAGTATACTGACTTGATTTCATACTGGGCTAATGTTTAGCTTCTCTTCTAGTAATGTAAGGTAATATGCTTTTTAATTTCATCATTCAATATCAACTTTACTCCTGGTTATATTTTTATTTCATAATTCAATATCAACTTTACTCCTGGTTATTTTTTTTTCTCTATTTTGAGTGTACTTTTTTATTACTTTTTAACCACAGCACAATGGTAACCAAAGCTGAAGAAATGTCCACAGCATAGTTCAAAGTTGTTTAAAGTGTGTTGCAGTTACTGTCTGTTAAACTCACCCTTGTACTGTTAGGACACTGCCCATAGAGGGCGAGGAGGGAGGAGTCGCCGCCTCCTTGATCATCCCTGTTGGGGAGCCGTGGGTGGGAGGCGAGGTGGAGGGCACAGCCAAACTCACGGCCACGCCCTCTTCCGTGTCTCCTTTTGCAACAACACAAACAAAAACAAAGCAATGAGCCAAAACGTGAGAAACCATCAAAGAGAAAAATTCTTTTTTTTTTTTTTTGCACAGACTCACCTGTTGGTGAAGAACCCGACTCGATGAGTCCGACCTTCACCACCTGGAAAATGTTTTTGGGGAATATTAAAAACAACATTTCTAGACATTTTGGCCTAATTTTATGTTATTTGACAAAGCTAACAAGAAATAAATGTTAAATGAAAAAATATCTTACCCCAATAAAAGGGATGAATTTCTGGTAGGAATCTTCATCCCGTCTGCTTACAGATCAAAATAATAACATATAAGGGGAAGTTCACAAAAAATAATAACTATGTTCTTTTCAGACGGTCCCTTGACTCACGTCCTGTGTTTACACGTTAGCATAGCCTCAGCGATGGGCAGCTGGTGGGTGACAGTGGCGCCACTGATGTACTGAGCGATTCTTCCTGCGACATCCAACTGGTCTGTGGAGATTTTATTTTAATTTAAGAAAAAAGTCAAGAATTAGACAAATATTCACAAAAAATGCAAATATAGTTAACAATAGGCTAAAAATAACTGAATATTTGCAATAGAATAGCTACAGTTTGGATAATCTTAGCCTATTTTAGCCAAAAAATAATTAGTTAGTTATAAAATAATTAATTAAATTAAAAAACAGAAAAGCTGTCATATCAAATTAACTTCAAAAATTCAAATCAAATTCAAAAACGTTATAAAAAATTAGCCAAAAGTAACCAACCCTTAGCTCATTCTTCAAGCTCATAATGAGCATAATACGCTAAAAGATTAGCAAGAAATTGGTTAAAAAAAAAGGTAAAAAGACAAATGATAAAATTTGCCAGAGAGATGTTACCGTTTATCGGTGGCTCAGAGCGGCTGAAGACGTCCCTCCACGGTGCGTCCATGAATGATGAGCCGTAGCTTTTGTCCAGAACAGCCAGATGTTTGGCCACAGGGTGGGAGCCTGAGGAAGGAGGCGGAGTTTATGTCACAACAAAATTAGGACAAAATTAATAGAGTCGGCGCTTGTAGAACTGACGACTGTTTTTTACCCAGGGGCACCACCAGGAAGCGCATGTGGTTCAGCCAATCAGACGTCTTGTTGGCCAGCTGAGTGACAAAGAACTGCAGGATGGAACCCAGATAACTCTGTCCGCCCACCGCGGCCACCTTCACCGCTCTGGGCATGGAGGAGTTACAGTTACAGCTGCAGGGAAAACCAACAAACACACAGGTAAAAGAATGAAGTTTAAGTCATTTCTGTGGTTTTTAGCCACACAACAGACAAGGAACCATTTTTACACATGGAACAAAGTTGGTGTATTTGTAACCTGACCTTTACAGTGGTTTAACCAGTCATTTTCTATGGTCCAAACAAATTAGGAAAAAGGTTTCTTTTTCACCAAAGTCCATAGAAAAAATGTATAGCTCTATAAACACAGCAGGTGCTAATTAATGTGGGTCACATTTGGTCATGAACAGCCACTGAGAGGGGCAAATCCACAAATACCAGGTGAGGATTTATTATGAGATTCATGAGAACACTGAGCACTGCTGTTGATTCCGTAAATGGACTTTGATTTGAGAGATAAACATTTGTGTGAATGAGTCGAAATAATACGACAGGAACATTTCTCACAATTTCTGTATGCGTGTGAGCACGGCAGACAGCACCGCCTGGATTTCTGCTGCAGAACACGTGCAAACCACCGGGTGTCGCTGCATCTGCAGCTGCTCTACAACGTACTGCAAATACACAAGAAACAATAAAAGAAAACAATGTTAGGAGTGAAATAACTCATAATAACACTGACACCAGGGTCATGTCTTTAAGTTAATGTTAGCAAATGGTGGTTAATCAAAGAGAAACCGATTTAGTAATATAAAATAAAACATGAAATTAAACATTAAACTCCCCATAACATTGGACTCATTTTATTCTGTAGAAGACCCATATTAATGTAAACGATAGCTAAAAGACAGCACAGGGGCACCTTAAAGTTAGCTTAGTTAATCATTGTTGTAAAAATGATTTTAAACAATGTATAAATAACAGAAAGACTAAAAAAATAAAAGCTCAAAGCTCAAATCTGCTACATGTCCACACCTGTCCTTGCCAGTCTGTCCCATTGACGAGGATGAGACTTTCAGGAAGAGCAGAGTCTGAAGACAGGATCTGGTTGAGCTGGTCGTACACAGCTTTTCTCAGAACCTACAAACAAACAAGAGAACTCATGTGACATTGTTGGTCTGAAGAAGAAAAAGGAGGAGGAGAAAAAGTTATACCGGTGTGCTATGTCCCAGCTCTGGAGATCGCTCCGAATCTGAGCTGTTGGTGCGTTCGCTCAGCGGTTTGGACAGTTGTCTCTCCTTCATTGGAGTGTTGCTGCTACTGCTGCTGCGCTTCTGCCCAGGTGTGTGTCCTCCGTCCAACCTACAGCGAAAGACAGGGAAGCATGTAAACCAGGGTCCAACATAACAAAATAATGACTACAATTAGTCAGATATGGTTTAAAATTACCAGCCAAAACAACCCAATAAGTGGAAGGAAAAAAAGCTAAAAGCAGCTGAATAATAACACAATTAGCCCAAGAATAGCTACAATATCCCAAATAGCTAATATTAGAAAAAAAAAATCACAACGAAACAATGATTGGCCAGGCTATAATGTACAGGCTGAGAAATAGCCAAAATTAGCATTATTTTATTTTTATTTTAATTGCTAAAAGTACATGATAGCTACATTTAACCCATACCTAGCTAAAATTAGGTTTAAAAAAAAGCTTAAATTACCAAACAACCATAAATAGCTGAAAAATTATTAGACACAAGAAAAAATATATTAAAATAACTTTTCACAGAAAAAAATAGCTGGAATAAGAGGAGGAAGGTATGAGTTTGTCCCTAAATCTCAGTCATGCTACAGAGTAATTAATTAGTGGTGTTCTCCAACTTTACCGAGGTGAAGGCATGGGCTGGATTTCACTTCTGCTGCTCTTCATGGGCGTACGGGGTTTCTCTGCCACGGACACCATAATGCAGGGGCCGACTTCAGTAAAAAGCTCCTGGTCTGTCAGCTCCTACAAACACACACACACATCTGTAAACAAGTTCTGTATATTTACAACTACTTACACATACAAAAGCCAGCATTACCTGTGTGTCTGACTCAGATAGCGCCTCCTCCAGGTTGCGGCTTCTTGAGGGTTTTATCCTCTCCAGGGGAGGTTGCTCCCCCTGCTTGAGAAGAAAGAGAATTGCACTCACATGACAATCCTCCAGTAAACTTGTAAAAACTATAAAAACTAGCATCGACAATCCACTTAAATCTTTCAACAGTTCTACTTCAGTTTTAATTATATAAAAACTAGTGTTAAAGATTAAATTCAGGGTCCAGCCTGAAGTAGAAATTAATGAACGTTAGCCCTTAATCCAGGCTAGGAAGAACCAATATTCAGGGTGAAAGTCAACTGAACCGACGGTTACTTTTTCAAAATAAATTAAAAAAAAAAAAAGAAATAAAATCGATCGTAGTGTTTTTAATGAAATTTAATGAAATTCTGCAAATGTTTCTGGAATAATCTCTGGTACGAACCGGACTAAACGTGTCTCGACCCAAACTCCCTTTGCTGTTCAAACTGCCAATCTCCGTCTGAGAGCTGGACTGAGACATTCCCTCGAAGAACGGTCTGCGGACACAGGAAGTCACATTTAATCACGCTGAAGCCTGCTGTAATGACCCACTTTCACCAGCAGGTGGAGCTCCAGTCCGCCTTACCTAAGCTTGGGTTTGGGCGTGCTGAGGATGCTGTCCGTCTCCTCCATCTCCGGGCCGCTGTCACTGGGATTGTACATCTCCAGACTGTCGTAGAGCTCGTCCAGGTCTTCCTCCACCTCCTGGATTTGCTCCCTTGACACGTGCTCCAGCCCGAAGCCAACCTGGAGAAGACGGGAACACACAGTGGAAAACGTATTAGAATTTATATAAATAAAAATGTTGAACATGATAAAATGTTATATGATAACGTATGCCGAGCAACAGTGTCAAATTACCCGAGTTAAGCTAAAAACAGCCAATTAATCAATACAAATGAGCAAAAGCTCAATGTTAACTAAAAGGTAATTGGATGTTTTTGCACAAAGATAACTACAATAAAGATAAACTCAAACCTAGACACGAGGGAGCTTAATGTTAGCCAAACAATTACCAGTTGTAATTTAAAAAACAGCTACAGAGTTAGCGTTAAACTATTAGCTTGGAATAGCTCTATGTTACCCAGTATTCATGATAAATAAGAAAGCAAAACAAATGGCAAAAGAAAGTAAGACTTGTAGCCAACAATAACGACAAATTACCTGAAAAATAGCTTAGAATTGATTTTTTGCTAACCACTTAGCCAACAATAACAACAAATTACCTGAAAAATAGCTTAGAATTAGAAAAAAATATTAAATTACACAGCCACAAAGACAGGAACAGCAGCTCAGGTTAGCCTAAAATTAGCTTACAATCACCTATATACATAGAGCTCAGCAAAATAGCATGTGTTAGCATATCTTGTGTGTGTTAGCCCAGATGTAGCAAAATGTTAGCCTAAAAATTACAAAAACTGTCAAACACACACACGAAGAGCAAACACACACACACACATACACACACACACACACACACACAGCAGTTCTTTTTTAACCCACACAGTTAGTGTTGTTTTGTTGAGCTGCCTATTTTATTACACTTCTTCTGACACATCTCACCCACACACCTCGTTCTAAGTGTGACATCAGAGCGCACACACACACACACACACACTTCACACTGTTGAAGAAGAGCTTCCTGTTCATGTCAGTGACAGTAACAATAAATGAAGAAAGAGTGCCCCCTACCTCATCTGTGACTTTAAACCTCTTCAGCAGAGCCACAAACTTCTGCTTGATGTTTGGTTGCTGAGGAGGAAGAAAAGAGGAACACACACATGTGATGCTGAAGAGGCGGAGGTTTGTTTCTTCTCTGTGTGTGTGTTTTAGTCTTTGTACAATTTAAAGGTGAATTAGTCACAGCCAAAATGTTTTAAATGTGTACAAATCTTCAACAACTCTTTGGGTTCAGGTTGATCCATTTCTTCCTATATTTTGCATCATTTGTTGTTACCTTTTATCAAATTAATCCACTTCCAGCCTATTTTAACCTAAAGATTTATCTAGTTTTTGGAGATTAGCTTCAGGGCTAACCTTTGGCCTCTGTTTTTGGAGAGACGCTAAAACAATCTAATTAGCTTCAGGGCTAACCTTTGGCCTCTTAGCTGAGCTGGTTTTGGTTATGTTTTCAGATTTTTAACTACTTTGGAGCGTTGTCTTATTTTATTTGGTTTGACTCACTCTGGTGATGGCAGCGTTGGAGGTGAGCTTACGTCGGGGCTTCTTCTTCCTCACCTCCTCGTCTTCATCATAAAGATACTGCAAAAAAAAAGGATGAATCCACTGAAATAGGTTAACCATTTAATATCTAGTGTATTTTAGTTTAGTGGTGTTCAGACCTGGCCATGGATGGGATCGTCACTTCCTTCCTGCTCTGACGAGTAACTCTCTTCTTCCTCTTCTGAGTAGTTTTCGATGTCTGGAGAACGATCTAAAGATATACAGAGAGATAGATGGATAGACTTAGTAGAAGAGAAATGTAAAACAATGAACACTTTGACAGACAGGGGGCGACGCAAAGAGACTGATTCCTACCAGACATCTTGGCTTTAGGTCCTTCATGGTCTATGGGCTGGCTGGACAGGGAGTAGACCCGGACCTCAGCTACAGGTACAGAGGCGTCCTTCAGCTGACTGTGGAGACCCAGGACCTGGGCACCTTCACTGGGATGCTGCATCACCTGGTGGACAATTGTTCTGATCACATGACTGTTCTTCAGGTAATTCTACAGTCTGGAAACTTTCATCTGATTGTGAGAAAATCATTTTACATTTTAACAGTTTATTGATGGACGATTTTTACAATTTTCACAAAATATTATGACCAGTGCTTCGCAACATTACGCAGTTCCTTTGAAGACACTTAAATATTCCCTTTTACTTTTTGCGACACCTGAGCCAGTTCAGAACTGAATAGTGACCAAGATTTGGTTTAACACCAAAGTCTGTGTTATACTCAGAGGTTCTACCTCGGCCATGTTGATGAGACCCAGTGCCAACGTTTTATATCCCAGGATGGTGCGGTTCTTGTACCGCTTGCGTCGCTGCAGCATGATCTGGAGCTTGTTGGCATCTCTCTTCAGGAAGTGAGGATACTGTTGAGATCAAACACACAGATACACACAAGACAACGATACACAAACACACAGATATATTAGGGCTGGGCAACGACTTAAAATATGAATCATGATTAACCGCACCAGTTTTTAATGTTTTTTTACAGTTTAATAAAGACGTGTCACTCTAAGAAACTCATTAAACCCTTAAGTAGTTTTTGAAAATATTACATTTAAAGCCAAAGAGAACCTTCAGAGAGCCAATGTCCTAATATTCTGCAGATGTTTAGACTGGTTCTAGATTTTCTAGAGATTTTATGTTTTTTTTTTTTTTACCTGCAGGGAGAAGGTGAGCTGCAGGTCGGTCTCTGTCAGCCCTGCTGAGGACAACAGGATCTCGTTGGAGCGCAGAATCCGTTTAGAGCCCTGAGAAGGAGGAGGGAAAGAAATGAGACGGGTTTCTATTAGCTGTCACCTCCATCCACTCCAGCACACTTCACATTTATACCATCACAGCTTCAAATACTGTCAGTATTAAATATGAATTCATAGTATATAATCATGCGGTAAGGCTGACCTGCAGTTTGACTGCGATGACCACAGAGGTGAGATCTTTGTCCAGCTCCTTCAGCATGATCAGCTTCTTCAGAGTCAGATTGAAGAGTCTGTAGGAAAGACGGAGACAGAACGTTACGTCAGTGATGGCAGGAAAAAAGAAAACATGAGTCAGAAAGGCTGATAAAAGAAATGACAATGTGTAAAAGGAAGCTGTGGAGCAGCAACTACAGGGGGGAGGAGGAGGAGACAGGAAAATGAAAGGAGACATCAGTGGTGAAGACGGGGTGACAGTGTGTGTTGACATCGAGGGTTTGGTTCAGAGAGGAGAGAGCTGCTCTTTTTGTAAACACACATTCATTTATAGCAGCAGAAGAAGAAACCTGAATGTATAACATAGGCTGTGTGACTGACATGTGACACACCGACCCACAATCAGCAGCAGGACAATGCTCTTAAAATGTTTAAAAATTGCCCTTTATATTCTAATTCTTGGCTTCTAAGATACGGCTGATGACATTAGTCTAAAGTAAATTAATGATGTCAGAAGAAGGAAACGTCACAAAGCAGCCAACACAAAATTAAAAATAACTGAAGGCTGTCAAATATCAATGACAAATGAAGTGTTTCATCAAACACATTGGTCAAAAATAACCACATTATAGCTCCTTCAGTTTCATGCATTATAACCAATCAACTGTAATTTCGGTTGATGCCCCTAGATAGCGGCAGACATCAAATGTGCCAAATTATCTTTAAAAGTTTAGGTTTATTCTTGTACATTTTGTTTATATCATTTCACCTAGCATTCTACATCTAACTGTCCCAACACATATTTTGAACCTCAATTTCGCCCGTGAGCCAAAGAGTTTGCCCACCCCGATATAGAGGGTTTTGTTTTTTCCAGTAAATACTATTATATAATAATAGCTATCTTAAGATTATTTACTTATTCTATTAATTAAAAATTTTCTTACGTAAGGTAAAACATAGGCCTGTTTAGTTAAAAAAAAAAATGTAAACATTTTTTATAAGTTCAGTTCCAAACAACCAATGACATTCGAGTACGTCTTAATAGCTTAAGATTAGGTATAATACCAAAATACTTGCACAAACATTGCTAAAGTTAACCTGAAATAGCTACCAGCAGC